ATCATTTGGTCATATGTGAAATACAATTTCAAACCACAATGAAATATCATCTCATCTCATCTCATTTAAAATGACTATCATCAAAAAGTGAAAAAAATAGTTGCTGGTGAGGATTTGGAAAAAGGGGGATGCTAGTATACTGTTGTTGGATGTAAATTAGTACAGGCACTATGGAAAACAGTATGGTGCTTTCTCAAAAAATTAAAAATGGATCTACCATATGATCCAACAATCCCAATGTTGGGTCTGTATTCAAAAAAAAAAAGAAATCGGTATGTTGAAGAGATATCTATATTTCCATGTTTACTGTAGTGCTGTTCATAGTGGCCTAGATATGAAATCAGCCCAAGTGTCCATTGACAGAAGAATGGTTAAAGAAAATGTGACGTGTGTTTGTGTGTGTATGTGTGTGTGTATGAATGAATTTTATAATTCCACCATAAAAAGAATGAATTCTGTCATTTTCAGTAACATGGATGGAACTAGAGGTCATTATGTTAAGTGAAATAAGCCAGGCACAAAAAGACAAATACTGCATGATCTCACTCATATAGAAGGTAAAAAAGTTGATCTCATGACAGTAGAGAGTAGAACAGTGGTTCTCAGAGGATGAGAGGGACTGAGGGGAGGTGTGAAGAGAGGTTGTTTAATGGGTACAAAAATACAGTGAGATAGAAGGAATAAGTTTGAGTGTTGGATAGCACAGTAGAGTGACTATGTTTAACAATAATTTATTGTATATTTCAAATAGCTGGGAGAGATAAATGAGGTGACATGTGCTAATTATCCTGATTTGATTACTTCACATTGTAAGCATATATCAAAGTATCACATATACCATATAAATATGTGCAATTATTATGTATAAATTTAAAAACTAAAGATTATCTAGAAAGTTTCTTCCACACAGAAATTTTAGCATGCATTTATTTTCTATAGTTGTAATCCTGCTGAATACAGTATTTTTTTATTGTGGTAAAACTATATAATATAAAATTTATCATCTTAGCCATTTTTAAGTGTGCTGCAGTGTTAAATTATGTGCACACTGTGCAGCAGATCTCTGGAATTTCTTTATCTTTTAAAACTTAAACTCTATATTTCTGAACAACTGCCCTTTTCTCCCCCCTCCCCCAACTCCTGTCCACTACTATTCCTTTTTCTGTTTCTAAGAGTTTGACTAATTTAAATACCTCATGTAAGTGGACTAATGAAGTATTTATCTTATAGTGACTGGCTTATTTCACTTAGCATTTTGTCTTTAAGGTTTTTCCATGTTGAAGCTTAAGAAAGAATTTTTCTTCTTAAGGTTGGATAATATTGTATACTTATATCCCATTTTCTTTACCTATTTATCTGTTGACATTCAAGTTGCTTCCACCTCTCAACTATTGTGACTAACACTATAATTAACACGGGTGTGTCTTTATCTTGTTTTTTTCCTTGAATTCTTATGATAATTATCTTAGATTGTTTGATATTCTACAAATGTTGGATATTTTCTTCTGATTTCTCTGCTCTTTTTTACTTTGTGTTTCAGTTTGTACAATACATGTAATTTCTATTGATCTCACTTCAGATTCATTTATTCTCTCCTTGGCTGTTTTGAGTCTACTGATAAGCTCATAAAAAGCTTATTTTTTCTGTTACCATATATTTTTTTTTTTAGAAAGTAGGAGTTTATTAAGAAGACAGAAAAGCTCCCACAGCAGGAGGAGACCTGAAAGAGGGTTGCTCACCATGTATTTTATTTCTACTATTTTCACTTAAGTCTTTATTTTTTTCTTGAGTCAGGGTCTCACTCTGTTGCCCAGGCTGGAGTGCAAGTGGCATGATCATGGCTTACCACAGCTTCAAACTCTTGGGCTCAGGCAATCCTTCAACTTCCCAAGTACCTGGGACTACAGGTGCTTGCCACCATGCCTAGCTATTTTTTTTTTTTTTTTTTAATTTTTGTAGAGACAAGCTCTCATTGTGTTGTCTAGGCTGGTTTGGAACTCCTGGGCTCAAGCAGTCTTCTCACTTCAGCTGCCCAAAATGCTGGGATTACAGGTGTGAACCACCATGCCTGTCCCTGTTTTCACTTAACTCTTAAGTTTCTCTCTGCTGAAATGTGTTGTCTTTTCATGCATGTTATCTAACTTTTCTGTTATAGCTTTTAACATACTAATTATGGGTAAGTTCCTTTGTCTGATAATTTCCAACATCACTGTCATATCTGAAAGTAGTCTATATTTTGCTTTAAACTCTTGACAGTATTTTTTTTTCTTGGTTTTAATGTCTTGTAATTTTTATTAAATTCTGATGGACATCATGTGTAGTAACTGAGGCAAGCAGTATTCATTACTGAAATTAATATACCTCTTTTACTCAACTATCAGTATTGGTGATTTGAGCCAGTCTAGTGGGAGTTGAGCCAAATTTGAGTTTTGTTGTTATGGCCTGAGTATTTATGTCCCCCAAAATCTTTATGTTGAAGTCCTACTCCCAGTGTGACTGAATTTAGAGATAGGCCCTGTATAGAGATAATTTTTTTTTTCCTAGGAATGTTAGAGACAGATTTTTTTTTCCAGGTGGAGTCTCACTCTATCACCCAGGCTGGAGTGCAGTGGCGTGCTCACAGCCACCCCAGTGTCAACCTGCTGAGCTCAGGATATCCTTCTACGTCAGCCTTCTAAGTAGCCAGAACTACAGGTGTGCTCTACCACACCCTAGAGACAGATTTATGGAGCTAATTAAGTTTAAATGAGGCCATAAGGGTGGAGCTCTGATTAGATAGAATAGTGTCCATATAAAATATACTAGTGAGGTTGCTTTCTCTTTATCACATGAGAACATGATGAGGTGATCTATGAGCTAAGAAAAGACTGTGTACTAGGAATGAAATTTCCCAGCACTTTGATCTGGGATTTCTATCCTTCAGAACTATGGGAAAATAAATTTCTGTTGTTTAAACTGCTATGATCTTTTGTTATAGAAGGCAGAGCCGACTGATATACTTGAGTGCACCATGGATTTAAAATTCTGCTGGTGTCATCTTTTGTGTAGGATGTTTGATTTGCCAGAGGATTTTTCTCTGTGTTCTTGTTTAGCCCTCTGGTTTAGGTCTTCCTTGGGAACTTAAGCCTTAGAGATGGTTTTATTTATATTCATGCCCCTTCTGCAAATGTAGGTTACTGTTCTTTTACTTGGTCATTACTAACCACATGCTAGGCTGCTGAGGTATCCTCTGTTGTTCTGGTCCCACTTCAAAGTTAAGTGGGCTCTATGATCCTGAGTTTGGTGAATGGGGCATATTTAAGAAAATAATGGCTGAAAATTTTCCAAATTTATTTTGGTTCTTTTTTAGAGGCTATTTTTCTTTGGAAATATCTCATCTGTCCAGCATTTATATCCATAATTTTCTATAATTTCTGTAGCATATTTATAATTTTTATCTTAACACTCTACTAATTACAATGACTTGGTAATCTCTGTGTCAGCTTCTATTTACTGTTTCCTCTTGATTATACTGCATGTTTTCTCGATTAAAAAAATTTTTTTTTCGGTATGTCTCATAATTTTTTCTTGAATTTAGTGCACTTTTTTTTTTGGCATTGGGCCTATTATAATCTAATTCATCCTGCTACCCCACACTGTTGTGTACAGCCTAGTTGATATCTGCTCACTTGATAAAATGTATTTGTCTAATGGAAAGATACCTGGATCTAGACCAGGTGCCTACCTCAAAGTTGTTGTGATTCTTGACTTATTTATGAATGCCCTATTTTTCCCCCTCTGGAGTTCTGTTCATCAAGGCTTCTTTACATCTACCACTCATCATTTGCCCCATAACCATGAAAGTTAAAGGCCTTTCTTGTTCTCCATCCCAACCTTGAAGAACAAAATTCTTCAGTGATTTTTAGTTATAATAGACTACTCCTTGAAATCCCATTGTCTTTTGACTGTTTACCAGCCAATCTTATCCATATAGGTTAATATTAACCTTTCTTTTATTCTGTATCTAGCTCTTAAAAAAAACAAACAAAAACCTTGATTGTTATCTCATAAGCTGAGATTTTCTGCTTTTGCTAATTGAATTCTACATTTTTGCCATGATTAAAAATTCCTAGATCCTTTTGTAGCTCGTGTGATGATTGAGTTTTCATGCTCATATGTGAGATTGCCTCTGTCAAACCTTATTTCATCATATTACCCATCCAACTTGAAAGAATAATTCCTAATACTTGCCAAAGAGAAGTGGAAACTCAAGTGAAATATTTTATTTCAATTCTAAATATATTTATTTTAGCCATATTCTAATGATTTTGTGAAACCCCAATATATGAAATATTAAGATATTAACATATAAATTTGGGAATGAATCTTCATAGTTTAGGGATGGTGCCAGTGTTAGTATGTATATGGTGACTTTAGAAAAAGGTGCTCCTTCCTGCTCCAGACTCATTGCCTGATTTCAGTCCTCACTTTTCCCGTTGGCTAGACACCCTTATACTATCTGTACAACTGTATTCCGAACATCTGAATCAGGAAAATATTTTAGGGGCTTTCTTATAACAGATGAGAGAGACTTATAAAAAATTATCTAGTAGGAAATTCATGTATGAGCACTGTTAACATGTTTTTTTGTTTTTTAAAAGTGAGATTAAATTGTACTATTGCTTTTACCTTGCTTCTTGTTTAACAGCTCATGAAAATACTATTACTGAGGAATTTCTATAAAAATTTACACATATATTCTATTTATTAGAAAGTCTGAGGGTGCCATAAAGGAGTAGTGGTTGGAGACAATAAAGCTAAGATGTTTGGAATTTGTGTTCTCGTGCTTTGCATACAAGTACTGAAACATGTTGGTTGAAGTTAAAAATTTCTGAAGTGAATAAAAGTGATTTCTTAAATTTATGAAAGTGATTTATCTGTCACTTTAGAACAAACCTATTTTATGAAGCAAAGTATGATATTATGAAAGCATAAAAAAAAGTTTGATATTTGTTCCATAGGCATACTGCAACATCCAGATGGCACAGTTTTAAAACAGTTACAGCCACCTCCAAGGGGCCCAAGAGAGCTGGAATTCTATAATATGGTAAGTGAGGTAAGATTTGTTTTGTTGTATTCAAAGTGTTTTTCAGAGTTTTCTGTGGTGACTCACAGTAAGAAATATATTTGACAGCATGTTCTAGGTCACTGTGTGTATGTACCAGAAACAAAACAAAAGCTTCATGAAAAACAGTGCTTATCTTTAATGTATGTGATGTAGTTTAATCTTTTCTATTTCATTTCTTAAAGATTCCTATTCTAAGTTCACGATAGATATTTCTTCTCAGGTTAAGGAAATTACCCTCTGTCATCAAAGTTTTGTTAAGAAACAAATGGCACACTCTGTCAGTTTAATAAAGAGACTATTTACAGAGGTGTGGTCAGAGCTTTCAGCAACCTACAAAGGATCATGTTATAATATTATACCATTCCTGTGCTTGAAGGGGCAATGAGGGAAAGCAGTTTCTGGAACCCAGGGAAGTATCTTTATGAGCGGATAAGACCCGGTAAGGAAGAAGCTAGAGAAGTAAATAACCTGACCGCAACTCTTTTCCTACTCTCCAGGGTTTTGTTGGTGTCTTCCAATAGCAGGAGGGAAGGTACCTCATTAATGCAGTTTGAGTCAGCCTCTTAGGTGGAGAAGAGTGGAGTAGCAAAGGGAAGATACACAGCATTCTTTCTATTTTTGTTTTAAGGAACTATTTAAAACATGAATGGTACTGAATAGTTTTCAGCTACCTTTTCTGTATCTAGTGAAATGATAAGTTCCCTTCTTTAGACTGTTAGTGTTATAAAATACAATAATAGAGTTCTGTAGTAGCATTAGCTTTCATTTCTGGAATAAAACCTACTTAAATAGGACTTTTTATTTGTTTTTTTAATAATATGCATTGTTAGATTTTGCTTGGTAATGTTTAAAATGTTTTTCCAGCAGTGTGCATAAATAAAGTCGAACTGTTTTCTGCATATATTGTTCTTATCTGGTTTTGATATCACATTTCTTTTAGCTTCATAAAATGAGTTGAGGAGCATATTGTCTTCCTCTGCTTCTTTCTCTTCCTTTCCTCTTTTTTACCTTTTCTTCCTTTTCTAGTTTTCTTTTCTGGGAAGGAATAGATTATGAACCAGTGACTCAGTTAAAGGTCTTTGGACTTTTTTGTTGATTTGATAGTAAAATATGTTAGTTTTTTTGTTTGTTTGTTTGTTTGAGTAGGAGTCTTACCTTGTCACTCAGGCTGCCCAGGCTGGAGTGACATGACCACGTCTACTGTAGCGTCTAACTCTTGGGCTCAGGCAGTCCTTCTGCCTCAGCCTTCCAAATAGCTGGGACTGCAGATGCACACTATCACACCCAACTAATTTTTTGTTTTGCTTTGTTATAATGTATTGTAGAGATGAGGTCTTGCCAGGTTGCCTTGGCTGGTCTTGAACTCCTAGGCTCAGTCAGTCCTATTGCCTTGGCCTCTGAAAGTGCTGGCATTCAGGTGTGAGCCACTGCATGCACGCTTGGCAAAGTTCTTTATAGTCTCTTCATTTAAAAATAAATAATTTCAATAGTTTTGGGGAGTACAAATGTTTTTTGATTACATGGATGTGTTGTCTAGTGGTGAAGAAGTCTGTGCTATAAGTGTTCCTGTCACCCCCACTAGTGCACATTGTACCCGATAAGTGATTTTTCATTCCTTCTTTCCTTCCTTTCTTCCCACACTCCCCCTTCTGAGTCTCCAATGTCCATTATATTCTTCTATATGTGCCTTTGCAGACCCTTAGCTCAGCTACCACTTGTGAGAACATGTATTTCATTTTCCATTCCCGTTTTACTTAAGATAATGGTCTCCAGTTCATCCACATTGCTACAAAAAGATTATTTCATTTTTTTAATGGCTGAATAGTATTCCATAGTATATATAATACCACATTTTCATTACCAACTGATCAGTTGATAAACATTTAGGTTGACTCCACATCTTTGCAATTGTGCTGTGATAAACACATAAGTGCAGGTGGGTTTCTTTTTGTAAAACAACCTCTTTTCCTTTGAGTAGATACCACCGTCTATGCTATGTCTAATTATGACCCCCTTTTTCATTCTGAATTTTGCTGCTTCTCTCTTTTTGTCAATCAGCTTGGCTGCCAGCATTTTTGGAGTGTAGTGGCTGGGGAAGGAAGAAGGAAGCTGAGGTTTTCAACTGTTCGTTATTTAGAATTTTATTTATTCTCTCTGTTTCAGCATAGTAACTCTGTCCTCAGCTCTGCCTGGTTCCTGAATTAAGAGATCCTTTGGTTCTGTTCTTCAGCGTCAACCTCTGTGAAGCCCAAACATCACTGCTCAGTTTAGCACTTTCAAGCAAATATTTGTTATATTTTATTCTACATTTCAAGGTAGAAAGGCTTTTAGGTTATCTTGTTTGACATTTTGCAGTAAAATCAGTCCTACTACTTAAAAAAAAAATTAAAGTAAGAGGAGAAAGTTTACCTTTCCACTCTTTTATTTCCATCTCAGAACTAAACTATGAATACTTTTAAATGTATACTTGCAATTTCTCCTGTGTTTTTATGGAGATGATACAGATGTGTATCTTATTTAATTTCATGAACCTGCTATACATATTTGTATGTAATATGTCCTTATCTTTTCCACTTACAAACATATCCTAGAGTTTTTTAGGGCAGTACACAAAAATCTACTTCATTCCTCCATCTTGTAATTAGATCATCATGAAATTGCCCTCACAGTCATTGTGCTAGGAATGGAGGGATATTAAGATACACCTGTTCTTAATTACCTTGGCCTGGAAGTGACTAATATCACTTCTACTCAAATTTCAACATGGGAGTCTGGGAAATAATGTGCCATGTGGATGTTTGGTGAGTCTGCCATACTTGAGTTTATTCTGTAGAATTACATTACACACAATTATTTGATATGCATATGGTTTGACATATATAGTTAAATTCTAATACTAAGCTTTCATAAGCATTTTATACAAGTAAACTTTAATGGTCTTAGATACCTAGGTAGAGCATATTAAGAACATGTTCATTGACTCAAAATGTCTTACAAGTTGTTTTTAAAACAAATATATTTTCCTTCTCTCCTTGTAAAAAAAAAGCTAGAACTAAGGTCTAAGATATTAGAAATTTCTAGTATTGGTTATAAATCAAGGAATTAAACAATACATCGTGTTAAAGGATTTTTTAAAAAAAATAAAATCACAACTCCCTTACAAATATAAAATAAATACATATTAAAGGCTTTCCTTACCTCATTTTTTAGTGAGGAAGCCAACCAGACAGATGTTAAAACTGATTCAAGAGAAGTCAAACAAGCACACATGCATTTGGAATAAAGGGAATTTGAAATGAATTTATATATGGATACTAAATATCCTCTCATGGGGCATGGAGAAAAGTCAATTGAACCTCCTCTGGTTAGAATTTATTTGCATGTCTATGGAAAACAATTATTTTGTTGTCAGTGCCTACAACTTACATAGTTGTAAAATAGTTCAAGGACAGTGAAAGTCTAGAATTAGATAACAAAGACGAATATGCTCGAAATAATACATATTTATTCATTGGAGACACATTAATCTTTTTTGCTTATTTCAGATTTTCTTAAAATTGAAATTCATGAGATAAATTATAATTCAACACAATATGTTTCATTTGAGAAATTTGTAGGGCTATTGTAAAGCATTATAAGAAACTAACAATGTTATGTTTCTCTTTGTTTCAGGTTTATGCTGCTGATTGTACTGATGGTGTTCTTCTAGAGCTACGAAAATATTTGCCAAAATATTATGGCATCTGGTCACCTCCCACTGCACCAAATGGTAATCTTTTTCTTAAAAATCTATCTTTTACTTTACTTTTGATTCATAAGAGTGGCTTTTTAAAAGGCTTTTTGTAAAATTAAACCTAGTATGCAGTATAAAAACACAGAACACAGAATTTCTTTTTTTTCTTGAGTCGGAGTCTCACTCTGTCACCCAGGTTGCAACACTCATGGCCACTGAAGCCTTGACCTGCTGGGCTCAACTGATCCTTCCACCTCAGCCTTCCAAGTAACTGAAACCATAGGCACGCACTGCCACACCCAGCTAATATTTTGGTTTACTGTAGAGATGAAGTCCCGCCATGTTGCCCAGGCTTGTCTCGAACCCATGGGCTCAAGCAATCCTCTTGCCTCAGCCTCTCAGAGTGCTGGGATTAAAGGTATGAGCCACCGTGTTCAGCTTTATGTGTTTCTTTCTATTTCCTTCACCAAACAAAACTTGTGAATACTTTTGTTTTCATAACCATTTTTTAAAATGGCATACACAAGCAAATAATCTGTTATAGTTGAAAGGAAATACACACACACACACACACACACACACACACACACACACACACACACTAGTATTTAATGCTATCTTAAGTTACAGATATTTTTTTCTTACTTTATTGTGCAATTTCTTTTCCCATTTTGAGTAATAAAAGCAAATCAAGAAAAATAATTTTCTCTCTATTACTTCCTCCCTCTTACTCTACTTCTTCATTCCTCAATTTCAGGCTTTAAATTGCAATCTTTTGAAAAACACTGGTAAGTTTCATAGAGGATAAAATGACCTATGTAAAGGCACAGAATTTCTCTTTTTTAAGATTAGTAATACTTGACTCTCAAAGATTATTATTTGTATTATTTTATTAGTATTCTAAAGGCCTTTGCCAGAGCAGACAGAATTTAATTAAATGGGTAGCTTGAGTATCTAACCATTGACAAAGTTGAATTGAGAGGAAAGGGTTTCTAACTTGAATGAGTTTAATAACCCACTATGGTCTTGTTAAAAGGTAAAGCTGGGTGCTGTGGCTCACACGTCTATAATCCCAGCACTTTCAGAGGCGGAGGCAAGAGGATTGCCTGAGTCCAGGGATTCGAGACCATCCTGGTCAACTTGGCAAGACCTTGTCTCTACAATAAATCAAAAATTTAGCTGGGCACGGAGGCACATGCCTGTGGTTCTAGCTACTTGGAAGACTGAGGCAGAAGGATTGCCTGAGCCAAGCAGGTTGAGGCTGCGGTGACTGTGAGCATGCCCCTGCACTCCAGCCTGGGTGACAGAGTGAGACTCTGACTCAAAAAAAAAAAAGAAAGAAAGAAAAAGAAAAGGTATAGGCTCAACTTCTAGACATTTTGATTATGCAGGTCTGTGTTGGAGTTTAGTGATATGCTTGCTAATAAAAGCTACAAATTTTTCTGATGTAGATAGTTCTTGAACAACATTAAACCATCAGAGAAGGGATTTCTCTTCCGTTCTCTTGAACCATCAGAGAAGGGACTCCAGTCTGAGCTTGTTCCTTTTCTCAGTTCTTGTCTTCCGTCAACTCACTGACTGTGTGCCAAATTTCACTAATAGGGAATTGTCATATCCTCCTGTATCCTCAGCTCGGTAATAGTGAATCTATGGCTCCTTCAGGTATTTAGGATCCCCTGTACTTTATTGGATGGGAAAAAAGAAAAGTGAGTTGAGACTCTATTAACTATTTCGTTTTCTTTCCTCCTTCCTTTCTTTTTATCCTCCCTTAATTCCTTCCTCCTTTTGGTGGGCATATAGGTCTTTTATTCCCAAATGTACACACGTCTATGATTCAGAGCAGCATTTTGCTTAAATTACTTCACAAGTCATTATGATTGTTCTTTGGTCATCATTTGCTTTATAGTCTCTTGCACATGCTTGTAGAGACCCCTTTGCTTTGTAGTGCTTTCTGTTGTAATGTTTTCCTTTGTGTTTTCTTTGCTCTAAGTGAAACTTTTTAGAAATGTTGTATATGAGATAAAGGAGAAGTTAGGGTATCTAGATCCCAGTAAGCTTTGCTACTGATTATTGTTTAATTTAGGGCAAATATTTATTCTTTAATAAAATGACACTGAAAGATTGAAAAAGATTGCTGAAGGTGATGCTTGATTGGAAATCTAGGTAATTAAATGTTCAGTTTAAAAGATTGTTTAGAGATGATGGAATAACTGAGCAAACATAGCATAATTTCTTTGAAAAGCAGAGTTTTCAGAAATAATTTAAATGAAGAAATGTTTTAATTAAAAATAACTTTTTTTGGCTTAGGATTACTAGCACATGATTTAAAAATCAAAGAATTGCCAGCAATCGACAACCTTGCCGGTCTTCAGTACTAAATAATCTTGAGGTTCATCCTATGCTAACATAGAAAGAGCAATAGCTTTAAAGTAAAAGACTTGACTTCTACCTTGGTTATTTACAAGTTTTGTGAACTTGACTAGCTCAGGAACCTTTTTGAACTCTACCTTTTCTTCTACAGATTAAAAGTAATACCACAGAGTTATGAAGATGCATGTTATCTTATGTGAGAATGTTTTATAATCTCTGATTCTTTTATTTGAATATAAATGGTGCTATTAGTACTACTAAGATGAGGTGAAGAAAATGTAAACAAAAGAGGAAAAAGGACAGGGAGTAAAGTATACATGATGAGTAGTATATAATACAGTTTCCTTGGGATTTTCTGTTCCTTTCTTACTTTATTAGCTCTGTAAGATGTTGGATCATGCAGATTATTTAGTTTTGATTTTGCTAGAGACTTTATAGAATCATCTTTCTGTTTTTATCCTTTTGATTATAAATGAAAGAAATGTAAGATGGTAAAGTTGTGACATGTTTAGCTCGCAGGATCATGAAAACAAATATTTTCTTAAGTTTTAGTAAAATACTATGGTTTGCATTACTGTGCTTTATGTGGTCTTAAATTTATGACTCTGTTGCCTGCTTTTTTTCTTTTTGTTTGAGCTTTTCTTATGTACTCAGGGTAGAGTTTTATAAAGCTGATACAGTTTTTTTATAATCCAAAGTAGCAAAATGCTGTAAAAACAACTTACTCAACAAATTATTACATAAGAATATGCTGGTCAGTAAGGTTTTCCCTTTAATTTTGTCATGATAATTTTATTGAGATATAATCTATATACCATAAAATGCACCCACTTAAAGCATGCTGTTCAGTGGTTTTAGTATATTCACAGAGTTGTACAGTCATCACCATCATCTAATTTTAGAACATGGCCAATGGAATTTTTTTAATTTAACATTTGTTGGCAATTATCTTTGAAGGTTTCAGGCTAGTTATATATAATAAATCTCATTTATACTTGTGTATTAACACATAGAAGCCAAGTACACGTACCATAAAAAATCTTTAGGTATAGATAGTTATGTGGAGGGTTAGTTAGAAAAGTATAATATCAAGTAGGTTTGAGCAAATGTAATCTCCAACCTAATTGATTGATAGGTTTCTAGATGTAGCTACTAGTCAAGTTTTAGGAATCATGAACTCAAGCTAGCATACATGTCTGTTCTCTCTCTTTCCCTTTCCCCTAAATTTGGGGTTTCAAGGTCTCTACTTATACTTCTTTTTTTTTATGAGTTGGAGTCTCACTCTGTCACCCAGGCTGGAGTGCAGTGGCCGCTCCCGGCCACCGCAGCCTCGACCTGCTGGGCTCCGGTGATCCTTCCGCCTCAGCCTTCCAAGTAGCTGGAACTACAGGCACGCACTACCACGCCCGGGTATACACTTCTTTCTACTTTCAAATTGTGTTGTTCTCAGAAGTAGCTGAAGATTGATATGGAAAAACAGGATCTTGTCTGTTTTTCCATTTGGCTTTGTGGTTGGGCAGTGGTTTCCCTGGCCTTTCTTCATTTTCTGGGAGGTTTAGAAATGAAGATGGCAGCTAATACCTAGTAGATTTTCTAGATACAGTGAGGAAAAACTTAATGAAACTTGGAACCCATATTTTCATAATTTATGCAATCAATAATGTTTATTCAAGGGAGCTAAATAGGTCTTCCTTCAGTTCCCTAAATACCCTCCCCCTTGTCTTTTCTTTAACAGAACTAATTATTTTATCTTTACTATTTAATTATCTGTAGACTTTAAAATTTTTTCAAAATTAATATTTTTATTTTTCCTCCTTTGATACTAGGAAATTTTTTGCCTTTCTTTCTCTGCATGTCAAGACTGTGTCATAGCAGTAGAAAATTTGCTCCAGGAGTTTTTTTATACCTAACATATTATAAAACTACATATATATATAATTTATGTTTAAGATAATTTTATTTAATTATACATATTTATAACAAGATAAAGTTTCTTTCATTCATAGTAACCTATGCAATCTTATACTATTATCAACAACTTAAAATATATAAATATTTTGAGCCTGTTAACAGCATCCTTTGTAAAGCCACTAAGAAATCTTACTTAACAAATTCGCGATCGGCACATTTTTTACTTTCCTAATACTGACTGCGGATAAAAATAAAAAAATCTGAAGCTGGTAGCCGCAAACTTCTGTCGTTAAGCACAAGTGAAATGGTCTTTTCCAATTTGTCACCTTTTTCACAATACAGCTTTTGAAAGTTGCAGATATATCCAGTATTTTCCTCAGACACCACTCTGTACTAGCATTCTGTACTTGGTATTTTTATTCAGATTGTAAACTGAGTATATGTTATTCAGAAACAGTTTACAACAATGTAAATTCACATCAGTGGCAACCAGGAACAGAATTTGAAATGATATAAATTCACGTTAGCAGCCACTGGAAACAGAATTTGGAATAACGTAATTTCACGTCAGCGATCACGAATGAGTTAATAGTCTGCTTGTAACAGTGGGAAGTATTGTATTTTTTAATGCTTTGTAGTTATTTTTATGACTGTCACCTAAAAACATTAGGGAACTATAGAAATTTTATATACACTTTCTATAAGTAAATAATAGGTTATTGACCATAAACTCTAAATTTTAATTATAGTTCTAG